AATGACTAAAATTAAAGCTTGATTAAGACTTGACAACTTTTTATAATACTATTAAAATGCAACCTATCAACTTGACTAAGAAAAGAGTGCGCTGTAATCTCCTTAATTAATCTTAATATCATATGTTGACGTTTTCTTTAATTTTAGAAAAAAGGTCATTTCAAAAGTTTAATAAAGAAGCTTATTTCTTCTTCTTTTTTAATTTCTTTTTTGTGTATGCTAGAATACTTTTTTTTTTCTTTCAATAAGTTATTTTTAGGCATGAAGAAGAGTATATGAAATTTACTAAGTCACAAATTCAAATTGTAAAATCATGATTCATTATAAATTAGATCATTTGCTTAATCAGACGTGCATGAACAAAATTCTTTTGATAATTTTATCTAGTCTAATACGAAATAAAAGAATGGATTGATTAGTCAATTATGAGTGCACTATCACCCATTAACCAACAGAAGAATATATTCTCGTTTTTCTCTTCCTCTTCCTCTTCCTCCTCCTCCTCCGCTCAACGCGTACCCTACGCGCATCCTTTATTCACTAGTAGCATGCTATCATGCATATACATTTCAGACAAAAAGGAGTCTAGTGGGCCCAATAATGGGCTCACTTGTTGTGGGGCCCAATAATGTGAGAGTGGTGGGGGGGGCTGCATTTGTTTAGTTAAGCCTGATTTGAGGTTGATCTGATCCGATCAGATCCAACGGTGACTTTTTGATGAAAATTCTAAGATGCTTGTTGTCCACAAGGATCATCGGACGATCCATATGCGATCTCCAGAATCGGCTCATTGATTCGAATTAATTTATGAATTATTTGGGTAAATTTTGTATGTTATTACTCTCTCTGTTTAAAAAGAGGGATCTTGTTTGACTTGACACAAAATTTTAAAAAATGAAAAAGACTTTTGTGATCTTAAATTAAAGTTATATCAAATGTACTAAATTGTTCTTCAATCTTATTACCAGAAAAGAAAAGAAATTATTATTTTTTAAAACGAAGGCAGTAGTATTTAGTATGGGTAAATAACTAAATAAATATGCCCACCCATCACTTTGCTTCTTTTTGTGGACTTTCTTTAGAGCTGTGGGCTATTATGCAACTTTAACAGCCCAAAAGTTGACCACTTTCTGTCATTTTCATTCACCCCTAATTTCAACTTTTAAACAAGAGAGTTTTGAGTTTAACTTATGTCCGTTAATAGTCATTTTAGTATTCAATATTTTATAATAATTATGAGTTGTAGTAACTAACTCATCACCCAAGACAAGACAAATAGTTATAACTGTCTAACTTTAGCTTGGTTAATACTCGCTTTCTCCTGCTAGTGCATCAAATTACAATTGTTTAATTACATATTGCAAGTCTTCGGATTCGAAATTTTGGAAAAAAGCATGAGTGATTATTCACACCATGCATCTTTATTTGTCTACGATATTATTTTGAGATATTCATATTTTACTTTTCTGTTTATAAAACCAATTGAATACCATTCTGCTCGGACTATTAAATACCAGTATAATATTCATTTTTTAACATTCAGATCATGACTTATATTTAAAAGGATGATTTTGTATAATTAATCTTATTAAGTCAATAATGGACAGCTATTTTTGACGATATGATACTCCTGATTAATCTGACTTTCATTCGAATCACACGAGTTTGGAAATGGTCATAATTAATTACGCGCACTTCCATTTTAATTTATATTTTAGCTTCATTTTTAAAACATGAGAGTCGAGAATATTATGTTCAACTTTTGAAAATTTTACTCCACTGCTTAATATACAAGTATATACGCACTGTTAACAAAGCATCAGGGCATAATTAATTTGACATGCATTGCACTTACTCTATTTTGGAATAACGTCGAAGCTTCAAATAATTCACACGAGGATCTTCAACTAATAAGCAATTAGATTTAGAAGATCGTGCAAGTTATAAATATTTTTTTTTTTTGTGTAGTTTGGATATTGATTCTTCAAGTTCATTAAAATCTATATGATTCAAAAGTACACAAAACTTACTACTTATAGGTCAACATAGTTAAATTTTTTGAATATCATAAAATAAAAAGGATAGTTTTACTTCTTTTTTTACAACTTATTTATATTTTCAAAAGGAACTAATTGTAAAGGTACAATTAAAAAAAAATTAGAACTACTTTTATCTTAATTTTGTCAACTGACTATTTTGAGATCATTATCATTTCTACAAAGATGGACCATACAAACAATAACAATCTAGTCAAATCGCACTAATTTCAAGAAGGGTAGTACGTATATATATATATATACCTTAATTTTTACTTCAAGATAGATTGTTTTTGATAGACTATCAGCTAACTAACGTGTACATAAGAAGAAGAGCATAATTATATTTGGCATGCTAATCATCAATTTGGCATTGGAAGTTTGGACATCATAAAGTGTTAGGAAAAGTATAGAAAAGCCTTCTTTTTCTTTCCTTTACTTTCTTTGTTTGTGGTACACAATTATAATACTTCACCTTCACGACTCTTATCCTACAAAAAGCATGCTCGTGTCTTGCATGTTCCAACTATATATCCATGCATCTCCCATATAATATAATGCACCCTCCCATCCCTGCCCAAAAAAATTAAAACCTCTCCCATGCATGCAATTAGCCCCCCCACGCACGCAAAGATAAAAAGCCAACAATCATTCATCTCCACAAAAAGCTACCTTCCATTTCCCCACCCAAAGTTTTCAGAGCCATTCAACAGCTCTTCTATTAAAGCACACTAAAAACCCTCACGCCAATACTTAAAAAAAAAAAAAAAAAACTTTCTTGTTAGTATCATACAACTCTTTTTGAGACTTTGGATACGGCTAACAACAATTCTCTCCTTTTTTCAGAGAAATGAAAGTGCCCTTTTCCACTAATGATAACGTAAGTTCTAAGCCATTGGTTAACAGCAACAACAGCTTTACTTTTCCAGCCGCTACCAACGGTTCTAATTTGTGCTACGAACCTAAGTCAGTGCTCGAGCTCCGTCGTAGCCCAAGTCCTATAGTTGATAAGCAGATTATAACAACGAATCCTGATTTGTCTGCTCTTTGTGGTGGTGAAGATCCTCTTCAATTAGGAGATCATGTTCTGAGTAACTTTGAAGATTGGGATTCTTTGATGAGAGAACTTGGCTTGCACGACGATTCTGCTTCGCTTTCAAAAACGAATCCTCTCACCCACAGCGAATCGCTGACTCAGTTCCATAATCTCTCCGAGTTTTCAGCTGAATCGAATCAGTTTCCTAGTCCTGATTTTTCTTTCTCAGACACTAATTTCCCTCAGCAGTTTCCGACGGTGAATCAGGCAAGTTTCATCAACGCCCTTGATCTCTCCGGGGATATCCACCAGAATTGGAGCGTAGGATTTGATTATGTGGATGAACTCATTCGTTTTGCTGAGTGTTTCGAAACAAACGCTTTCCAACTCGCACATGTGATACTGGCACGCCTCAATCAACGGCTCAGATCCGCAGCAGGAAAACCTCTCCAACGAGCTGCCTTTTACTTCAAGGAAGCACTTCAAGCGCAGCTCGCCGGATCAGCTCGGCAAACTCGTTCTTCAAGTTCCTCCGACGTAATTCAAACGATTAAATCTTATAAAATATTGTCAAATATTTCTCCGATCCCTATGTTCTCTAGCTTCACGGCGAATCAGGCCGTGCTTGAGGCAGTTGACGGCTCCATGCTAGTCCACGTCATCGATTTCGACATCGGACTTGGTGGTCACTGGGCTTCCTTCATGAAAGAGTTAGCCGACAAAGCCGAGTGCCGTAAAGCCAACGCGCCGATCCTTAGAATTACGGCTCTAGTTCCTGAAGAGTACGCTGTGGAATCAAGGTTAATTAGAGAAAATTTAACCCAATTTGCTCGTGAACTCAATATCGGTTTCGAAATTGATTTTGTCCTAATTCGTACATTCGAATTGTTATCCTTCAAAGCGATAAAGTTCATGGAGGGAGAGAAGACAGCGGTGCTTTTATCTCCCGCTATCTTCCGACGGGTCGGGTCAGGGTTTGTAAATGAACTCCGTCGAATATCCCCTAACGTGGTGGTACACGTGGACAGCGAAGGACTTATGGGTTACGGTGCAATGTCTTTCCGGCAGACAGTAATCGACGGGCTGGAATTTTACTCTACACTACTGGAATCACTGGAGGCAGCAAATATCGGTGGTGGAAATTGCGGGGATTGGATGAGAAAAATAGAGAATTTCGTGCTGTTTCCTAAGATAGTTGATATGATCGGAGCAGTAGGGCGGCGTGGAGGTGGAGGATCGTGGAGGGATGCCATGGTGGATGCCGGATTCCGGCCGGTTGGACTAAGCCAGTTTGCCGATTTTCAAGCAGATTGTTTATTGGGTAGGGTACAGGTAAGAGGATTCCACGTGGCAAAGAGACAAGCAGAGATGTTGCTTTGCTGGCATGACAGGGCCCTAGTAGCCACGTCAGCTTGGAGGTGTTAATAATAATAAATCTAACCCTAAACTAGTTTTAATTTAATAATAGCAGTGATTTGGATCTTTAGCTGTATGGTTCAGTTTTAGGGGTTGGCTTAGCATATATAACAATAGATTAAGAAGAAGAAAAAAAGAAAAAACTCAAAAGAAAGTTGCATGGTCCTTTTCTTTTCTTTCTCCAATTGTGTTGGTAACTATCTATCTTTTGTAATTTTGTAGCTTAATTTGGAGTCTCAAGGTTGGTGTCTCTAATTAGTGGATAATTGCAATTTGTAACTCATTCACTATTTAATTTGAAAGGATACATCACCATTTTCAGTTCAACTATGAACAAATGAGTACTCCAATTCTTCTTATTTGACATGTACATGTTTTTAGATTCGAAAATAATTAATTTTGCACTTTCTATATAATTCATAAAACTATAGTAACTATGTTTTAGATCACAAATTTATAAAATCTTATATTATACAGATATATTAACTCAATTTTAAAAACTACGATCAGACTTTTCAAAGAAATTCATGTCGTTTGAAATTATAGAACATATCTAAGGCTCAAACTTGAGACATCTAGTTAAAGCTAAAGCAATTCCACCAGGGTACCACAACCCATGTGGTTGGGTGCCTCGTTAACATTCACTTGAAGACTTTCTGAGCTACTGAAGTTAATTTAAAGACTAAGTTAAACAGACTCAAGACTCTTTTAACACTGGGGTTAGAATCATAAGAAATATATGTTACAGTCATACTCAGAAAGGGAGTTAAAGGAGGGTATAGGTTAGTAGGACAACAAACACTGCACCAAAAAGGCAATGATCTGTGAGCACTTTGTAACAAAAATCACCTACTCAGTCCTGGCTTTTCCACTTCTCCTTAACTAGCTTCTTCAACATTAGATTGAATACGTGTGACATTATCGTTTCTCTCCAGCTTAGACACAACGTCTGGTCCACAAAGTAGCGTTAACTCTTCCTGTTTCACCATCATATTCCAACAAATATCAGTAATTTCATTTTTCTCACCTTCACAAAACGATGAATGTATGTATGCAGCGAGAGATTCAATGATAATAAACGGTCTCACATTTTTGTTATAACAAAAAGCTATTCACGAATCAGAACTGTGTGCCCCTATTCAGTGTCACAGAGGGGAAAGAAAACAGGGGATGACAAGAACAGTGTACTTGAGAAAGAGAAGAACGAAAAATCAAGGAGGACAAAAGTTCAGAGGAATACTTATGAAGGTGTAAAGTACCTTAATTAAATTATTCTCCGAGGTAAGCTTCTCACATTCCTCAGAGAGCCGTTGGAGCTCATCTTTGAGTGAATGATTCTCATGGCTCAAAGCTTCTACTCTACGTTGTAGCTCTTCACACTCTGCCTGCGAAAATACACAACGTAATACATTACTGTCAGAAGATCTAAAAGAAATTTAGAGCACATTCTGGGTTCTCCAGCAATTGGTGCAAGCAAACGACCAAACACACATGAACAATGGTCAAGAGTTAAAAGCAGCTTGTTTGCTGTCTCATCGAAATGCTAGTTGCTGTTGTAACATGAACAGAAAGGAATATCATGTTTTTGTATGGGCTAATGGTAGAAATGTTACAAACACACGTTGTTACTTCTTTCTAAAGAGATGTCAAATACAATGACAGAAAACATCCACATGCACAACGATGAACTCCATGGACAAATTTCTGTCCTATCTTATAGTGAAAGTGACACTCTCACAATGGTTCCAATCATCCACTAATCTACCAGTCTCAGTGTATACACCGAATGTAGGTGAATATTCTCCCTCGGTCCCAAATAATGGATAATAACTTATCCGTTCACAGCATAATCTGTTTGTTTAACTACGGCAAATAAGAACCAAACCAAGATTTCTGTTCTTTCTTTTTCCGCGTCTCCACTAAAATGAAAAGCAGCTATTTCCTTGGTTTCTTGGCATTAATTTGATGACACTTACCATCACTTCCTGTTCCAATTTAATTTTAACAAATAACTATCATTAGGAGAAAACAGTAGAGCTGACTACATCTGGGTGAACTGATAGTGGTAAAGATGTGAGGAGCATTCTTATTGCACTTATATTTTTCTCCTTAATCCTTTTGGTTGGATACATCTAAGTTACGCATTAATCCCCCCATTCCATGAGAAGTTATAATGGTATTTACGCGTCTATCCATTTCCTATTCAGTTAAACCCATCAAACTCAGGATGGATAAAGGTGTTTTCAAGATCTTAACTGACAGTTAGAGGAGGGTATATTCGACATCAGTGGCTGCACTTGCCCAACCATGTCTCTCAAAATGATACTTTTTACTCCCTACGTTTACACAGTATGGTTTGGCTAGGAACATAAGGAAACAGTTTCACATCAGAAGGGATCAGTAGTTTTAATTAACAATTAAATCTATAAGGTGAGAGGAAAACCGCAAACATAAAGCTGCATATTGTTTTTCAGTACTCAGAACTTGTAAGAATGTAATGTTGGTACTTTCAAGTAAAGTAACAGCATCTTGATTCTTGGGATGTTATTGATTAATGGTCCATAAAAGAGGCTATACTAGGACTTGATATAAGATTCTCTTTGGAAAGGATTGGGAGATAGCTAGGATAGACTTACTTTTGAGAACAGGTTATCAGCCTTCAGGAAGATAGTGGTTTAAGGGAGACTATCTATAAGTGGTCTGTTTTAGTTGATATTTGATATGAATGCATCTGCTGTCGCTTTTTCACATTATATTCCAATTTTTATACATACCATCCGTTCATTTGTGTTCCCCAACTCGAATTTTTCTCTCATGTGATTGTCCATTGTCTTCACAAATCGAAATATGAAGAGAGACACATGATCTTGTTGGGGTGGGGGGGGGGGTGCGCAAGAAAAGGAAAAAACTAAGAAAGTAAGTTATAGTTGCTAGGGCCGTAAAACAGTCTGCAGATTAGAGCATGTGATATGTAGATATAACATCGAATTGTATTCCCATATTCTTAGGTGCTTATAATTTATGCTGGAGACCATTTCATAAACGTGATACAAATGTGTTCCCATCAACTAGAAAAAACATCATCACAAGACATTGAGGATTCGGATGAAACAAGAACTTGCAGCATCAATGTAAGTTTATCTGGCTAGACGACAATGCAAAAAGATCAATGTGCCATATGATGGCGTAAAAAGGATGATTTTAAGGCTCTCTCTGCCTCAAGCAAATGTCTGAGTCTGAACTAGGGTTGGCAAAATTGACCCAAAAAACCTAACTAGAAAATAATTAGAAAATCACAAAGACAGAGATAAAAATATAAAAAAGTTGGAGCCCTTCTGGAATAAAATTCATCTATTCAATAGTTAACAATCTTTAGCATATCTAATACATGTCGTCATTATCAAACTTCTCGGTCGAAGTAACAGAAAGTCATCTTTAATTTTTTGTATGAAGTACTAAAGTCATTGTCAAATTTTCTGATGAATTCATTGAAAGTAATCTGCAGATTTCTCAATTAAGTAAAACCATGTAGTTTTTGAGTGGTTCTAATTTTCGTGCAATTTTTTCTGCAAGTAATTACTGGACTAATTAAATGTGAAAGCTACAAAGGAAAAAAATAATGAAATCAGTGAAGTTCTAATGTTAATCAATCAAAATGGAGAAATTAAAACAACTATTTTGCTTATAAAGAAAAATAGAATTATTACTATTAAATTTATAAGCTAATAAATGTAGGTAAAAGACAAGTTGGGCATTGCCCAACCCCGCCCAAATTTAGCTCGAATCGCCCATTTGCCACCCCTAGTCTAAATCCACAAAGAGAACTAACAATAAAAGACATACAGTCAACTCTAACTGGTTAAAGATGGAAAGAGTAACATTATCTATTAAAAGTTAAGTCATACCTGCTTGCGGAGCCTCGACCTCCTAGCTGACTCCCTATTAGATTGCTTTCTCTTTTGCCTTTTAAGTTCACGTTCCTCCTGTTACGGGAGGGTTATAACGAAATTTATCAACAAAATGAAACGGAAAAACGATGATGACAAGGATATAACGCCATCATTGAGTGTGTACTCCCTCTTGCACACAAAAATGAAAGGGATGTGGGATGTAAAAAGTTGTCTCTCCTCTCTCGAGTGTTACATAATTTATTGATCTACTTGAAATAATCATGAATGTAACTTTTATGTAGTGATAGGGTATGTCGTGAAGTAGAACAATGAACTTCAAAACAGCACAAGGTGCTGATGTACCCAGAGATGGAAATATCAAGATGAAGCATGTTTAATAACTAATGAACCATATGTTCAGAAATTGTTATGGCAATAAATTAGATTAGAAAATTGTATCCTACAAACAGGTTATTTTATCCCATAAAGAACGAAACTGACATGTCTTCACTCTTCAGGAGTTTTCTGGCGTATTACTAGTCTAGGCTATTTTTGGACTAACCAAAACATCTGAAGCCTTATAAAATCAGGGTGTTGGATGCTTTCATGACTTTCTCCAGGTTGTGATCTTCGTTCACAAATTAGTCATTTCAGCCATTTCATTTGCACACTAATATGGAAGTCTCTGTGCTAAGAATCAAGATACACAGACAACTTTGTGTAATCAGAAAATATTCCACCTTCACTAATACCATCTGCTACTAGATGTGTGGAATATGCATGCTTTTTAAAAGATCGATAAGCAGGTAGACTGGCGAATTTGAAGGATATACAAATCTGGTTAAGAACGACAACGACAGTACTGATTTCAGTGAGTGAAGAGCTAAAGAAAAGAAAAAGTACCTGAATCCACTGATCATTCATCCTTCCTTCATGTCCTATAACTGGACCAGTTGCATTTTGCTGTATTTTGATCGCTCCAGGACCGGCAGCTGATGCATTCCACACGTCCATTCCAATATTTAGGTTAGTTGCAGGCATGGTGACAGGATTTCCATGTATAGAAGTCGGGTGATTCTCTTTCGCAGGATTATTCTGTGCACTGGCTCCTGATAATCACCATAGTTAGAAACTCAATTATTTGTTGATAATAATAATGGCAGAATCAAGAAGAGAGCTCACAGAAGTTACCATCTGCAAGCATTTGATCAAAGCTTCCCTTCTTGTTTGCAGCAAATTCCTGTGAGATGGCATATGATCAAAAAAAGTTCCAACTAGCCATTGCGGGACAAGGTAAGGATAAAATTGAAACTCATGATCTCCATGGCATGTAAACAAAGAAAGAAGTGGTCAGGGGCGGACTGAATACTTACATTGTTATCATTTTCATCATTTGTATCTGATGTACCTTCACTTCTGCTTTCATCACTGTTCACGAAAAAAATAAAACAATCAGATGCATGAATGATCCATAATGAAGAATTTTTGCAGAAATATGATTCATAATCAGACCTTTGTGTGGCACCATCATTTCCGGAACCTGAAGTAACTTTCCCATTGTCGCCTGCCTTACCACCAGAACAGACCTTTAACTTTTTACTTGAATTCCGATCCTTTCCTTCAGGCCCCTTCCCATCTGCTTCAGGATTTGCCGGCACAGAATTTGGAGCCGGCTGAAAATACGTGAACAAAATATTAGCATGATCTGTCTTTTTGTATTTTTTCTTTTGGGAAGAAGAGGTAACTTGCTTTCATCAGCTTTCAAATTCATAAGAATAAATTACAGATAAGCTTGATTACCGTGGCAATGTTAGGATGAGCATAAACTCCGGCAGGAGGATATAAAGCTGGATATGGAACTGGAGTCCCATAAGGAGGCATAAGAGGATGCTGAAATATGAGATGGGTGATCAGAGTAAGTAGTACTGTGAGTTCAGAGGTTGTGAGATAGCTAGTGATCGGAAAAAAAAAAGAACAAATAAATTAGGAACAGAAAATCAACTACCTGACCTCCCCACATGTATGGGTGGGGAGCAGGAGAAGCAACAGGTGAGGCAAAAAAAGGAGGAGTAGCTCCAGCACTATAATAAGCCTAAACAGGAAAAGAAATAGAAAACTAAAATATTATTCATCAGCGTTCATGTCATTGGCTTAATCATTTATGAAATTAATAGCAACCTGCATAGAGCTTGACCAATCAGGATATGAAGGTGCGGTTGGTGTCTCCTGATCAAACATTAGAAAACTTGTGAACAGTGAGCCGACATGCATTAACACACACAGAGAGAGACAGAATAGCACATGTTTAATGATTGATTAGCTGTAAATCATAAAAAAGACAATAAAGAGAAAGAAAGGGACCTGAGTTAAAGGAGGCTTTGAAGTCTTTGTAGGAGTGCTCTCTTCCCCAGCTCCCATTGGGTCAATCAATTGTATATGCAGGTATCCACGGGAATAATCCAAAAATGGCTTGCTCAGCGAAAGGCTAGGTAGATTATAACAGGGAAAAGAAATTAAAACTCTTCCATTTTCTTTTTTTGGATAAGTAGAAGTTAGAACTCCTACCATTTTGCATCTATAAGGATTATTTCTTTCGTTGTCATAGGAACAACAACAAATATTATGCTCAATCTCAATTTGACTATCTGAATCCTCACTTATTTCTTTAAGCTCAACTCATGTTATCATCATACCAAGTAAAAATAAAAGTGAAAATTAAGTTTTATATATATAAATAATAGTAATTGTAATAAATGAAAATAATATTAGAAGTTCTCCAACAAGACTAAATCATATTCCCTACTAGTATATATTACCTATATGAATCCTTTTCTACCATTTGCCATATCTTTAGCTAAGTCTACATTGTGAGGCATTGATCCCACGAGAAGATAGGTCTTTCAAGAGAATTTCCTTCCAAGTGATTGCTCACATTGCCAGTCCCAAATCGAAATGGACGAAGGTTGTGAAGGCTTGAAGCCAGCATGAAATTTGTCAATTCATGAGCCATAGTCATATGAACAAGTATACAGTTTTTGGCTTTCTAGTAAGCAAATGATACACAAATTCCGCCTAGGAAGTTAACCTTATGACATAAAAGGAAGACTAAAGATCACTATGCCTCAAATCCACATTAGTTACAGTTGGCTTGATGTAAATACAATGATTGAAAAATTACACTTGTGAAATATATTGGTATAATCTATGTTGATCAAACTCAAGTGCGGAAATCCAATTTGGGTGCAGATCTAGAGGTCGGATTCTTCATGACACAAATTTTAAGATGGGCACTGATCCAAGTTGCCATGTTTTCTTCACTATCATGTTTCTTTTTCATTACTACTTTGATTTGATTTGCTTGAGATGATGGTCTTCCGAAAATAGACTCTCTACCTCCACCAGATGGAAGTAAGGTCCATATAAACCTTAGCCTCCCTAGACCCCACTCTGTGAGGTGAGATTTTACTAGGTATATTGTTGTTGTTGGGATATGGATTCAAATGTGGATGCGGGTGTTGGGATGCGGCTAATAAATGTTTATTACAACATATAAAGTATATATTTCGATTAGTTTGAGTTATTGAACTAAAACTAATAACTCCATTCCTTACAAACACCAATATTTTATCTTTTCACGCATAATGGAAAAGCATTCTCATACTTTATATGGTCAATCTATACTCTCAATAATAGAATATGGTCAAATTACCCAAGGTAAGTTGACCAAATCCAATAAGAATCTCTCACCCATGCCGTGCCGACACAAGTGTGGCAAAGATTTTAAAAAATTCGTGCAACATAGGTGTAGACAAGTTCTTTAAACCTCTCTGCCTAGGAGTAGACCATACACACCATGCATACCATAACAATGAGAAAGAATGTTAGTAACAAGGATGAAAGAAGTTGCAAATCCATCAAAGATAAATAATTTACAAAGCCATGCAAAGCAATCTTTTAACTTACAGAACGATCTGTATGCGACTCAAACGTAAAGAAAATGAAGCACAAATCTAGTGAGAGATATTTCGTAAATAAGATGTGTACTCATTTCAAACTAAATCTTATTAAAAATATTAAAGTACTTCCTTAAAGAAATTGCTATCTGGTAAGATTTCTTCAAAAGAGAACATTGTAGACTAGCAGATAATGAAGAAAAGGAAAGTCATTTACATGGCTACATGATGAATCTGGAGAAAAGTACTGGATGTATCTATTTACATAATCAAAGTTAAGACTGGTCAATGGACCGGAACCGATTCACCGGACCGGAACGAACCGGTACCGGACCGAAACGGGACGCGTTGACCGGTACCGGATGAACCAGACCGAAATTACCGGGACGAATAATCGGTTCCTCCCGTTCCACTATATACCGAGATAGAACCGGAACGAACCGAAATGGACTGGATTTGAACGGACGGGATAAACGGGACGACATTTTTTGGGATTACAAAAATATGTATTTTTTTTATTTTTCTAAGTTTAAATTAATAGTTTTTAAATTTATACTATAATTTTTTACTTAAGTTTATTTTAAAGATATTTTTCAAATTTTTTTTGTTATTAAGTTTGCAAGTAAAGTCTAATTTGATAAAGCTGCAGGGCAGCAGGGGCAGGTGGTCTGGTCAGGGGCTTAGGGCGCAGGGCAGCTTTTAATAAAGTTGCCGCTTGCCAAGTGTCAGGGAAGGGGAGGGTGTGGTGGGTAATTAATTTTCATATTTAGAAATTATATAAAATATAAAGTATAAAATATAAGACATAATTTATATAAAATATAAAATATAAGATATAATTTATATAAAATATAAAATATAAATTATATAAAATATAAAATATAAATTACATAAAATATAAAATATACAATATAAATTATATACAATATAAAATATAAAAAAATTAATATATATTAAGTAAACCGGATCTGAACCGGACCGGAACTGGGATGAACCGGTACTGGTACACCGGTACGAAACCACAGTTCCGTCCCGTTCTGTATACCGGTTCAGACTATCCCGTCCCGTATGCAACCGAAACGGGACGAACCGGAACGGTACCGGTACGTCCCATTCCGTCGCCCAGTCTTAATCAAAGTCCAAAACACAGATAATGACATTCATTAATAAAGGTCAAGTTTTTCCTTAATGGTTGCTAGTCCATACTTTTCATGGCTTCAACATCATTCCCATAAAGACGAATTGCAACAAAAACAGAATGCCAATCCTGCACAAATGACTGATTGCAAAAACAGTTGACAAAATTAAACATGTCTTCTTGATGTTAAATCTTTCTAAGCCTAATATTGGTGTTTTTGCTTAAAGAATATAGCCAACATCTATGTACACCATCTTCAGGCACAGTTTTTGTTCACTTTTCTTACAAATAAATGGCAATAATGTCCACTACGAAATAGAATGCTTAACCTAATATCCAAATAATGTATTTTCCAAATGCTCACCAACGCCAAGCCGCCCCACTATTGACATGACATAATTATAGTTGAAACAATTAAAAGTGCATTGTATAGCAAAGAAAACTAGGCAAAACTACATCATTTTACGAGCATGTATTCAAATTCATTATAGAAGAAGCAAAATCTTATGCAATCATTCCTCGCAGAGTCTAACTAATACAACAATTTCAAGTTGAGAAAAAGAAACAAAAAAATAGTAGAAAAATAGGTTGTGGATGGCCAGTTCAATATTTTATATTCTTAAAGGCAGTAATGTATGTAAAATTTTCCCTGGTTTTTTGCCGAATCAATTTTATTACTAAACAATAAATTTGTGATGCGTGTTTGATGCTCAATTAGAAGCTGATTCCTCAAAAGAAAACACAGCTTGTTCATGTTGAGTTACACTTATCAAGTTTTACAAAGGATTAAAATCACAAAGATCATTCTAACTTATTTTTTAAACTCAGGATCATTCTAACTTGAATAGCAAACAAAACACAATCTTGAACATCACAACCAATTTCAGTCAGGCTATACTTGACAACTCCCCCAGGGGAAGATCTTTTGTGGAAACAAACCAACTTCGCAATAGTCAAGAGCGCCTATTATTTCCACATTCCTCCTCCAAAACCAAGAAACACCATCTAATTTGTATTAATTTCCTTTTTATTGATAAATAAAGGTTAATCAATCTAGCTTAAAAGAATACTTCCAATGTTAGTCAGATTAACCAAATTTCGGTGTAATGTCGCTTAAGAAACATGTCATTCACAGCTTACAGCAAAAGATATTATACCCAAGGAACAAATGGAGAATTTTGGAAAGTCTACTTAAACCCAAAAAAGATTTGAATCATAGGCATCTAATTCACAACACAAAGCTGGTCAGAGAATTGGGTTTTCTTTTGTCAAAATTCACCAACTTAATTGCAAGAACTAACTTTCAAGAAACCTTTTGAACATGCTAAATTGATCATCAAACTCCAAAATTAAAAAAAAAAAATCAAAACTATTCAACAGTAACAAGAATCAAGAAAACCCCTGACAACTAAAAAGATCCCAATTTTAAAATCTAATTCCTTAAGGATAATTCTGTCGGTCATTGTGAATGAAAACCGCTGATAACTAAAAAGCATGTTAAGGTGCTAGCAAACACAAAATCAAACAATTGATAAACAAATACTAGAAAGCAAGAAGAAAAAAACAGTGAAAGTAAAGGTGGTGGGGAGAGCTGACCTGTGTAGTGAATCTGAGGTGGAACAAGAAGGTTCCAAGTCGGATTTTCCAAAAAGTTAAGTTTGTTATCCCACCCCCAAAGAGATTTAAGAAGAAAAAAATTATCCTAAACAAAGAGCAGCCATAAAGAAAACAGAATCTTGGTTCTTGGGTTTGAAACTTTGAAGAAAGAAAGAAGACGGTTTAGTCAAAATATTTTAGTATAATTTGTGTGTGCATAAAATGCCATGTAAGAAGGGATTGGGGTTTTAAGTACAATTGTAGGGTTTTGAGGGGAAGATGACACGTCACAATAAAACAACGTCAACACTTGGCCAAACTATAGTGGATAGAATTTATAGGATAACTTAACTTATTAAGTTCTCCTGCTCCCGCTTCTTTGTTCATTTTTATTTGTTCATTAAATTATAGTATAATTAAATATTTTTATTTAATTATTATGATGAGAATGCAAAAATTATTATGAATAATAAATGTGATTTAAAACGAAGGAATATCTAATTTTAATACGTATCAAAAATAGAATTAGTTTTCATTAAGATCTGGCTTATCATATCACTTGACAATTGACATTTTATTAAAATGATCCCTAATTAATGTCAGATTTTTCTATGAATTTAAATTTAATTAAGCTTTAATATAAATATTAAACACGCTATTAAAAAAAATAATTAACATATCATATAATTTTATTTACCTTAACTTTGACTGAGCGCAAAAATCACGTGGCATAAGATAAAATAATATCTAAATGGATCTTGAACTAATAAATTTGTAAAGTTCAACAAGTACCAATTTGGATAGAGATTTGGTTCAGGCCTTAATTAATTATATTGACACATGATTCTGATTAGGAGATATAGTTTTAAATTAACAAGTTAACTCCATTTGGCACTATCGTTATCCAAATAATCTTGAATGAATATAACTTATATTAGTATTAAATTAAATGTGGTGTTGTCTAAATTTCAAATAAGACTTCAAGTTGTATTTGAAATAATAAAGTGAAAAAAAGTTTCTCCAAGTCAAAAAGAGGTCCTTTCCTTGAACTCAATACACATTGAGACCTGAGGATCCACTCTATCTTTGTATCATACAACTACATGCATTTTAACAAACAAAGAGAAAAAGAGTACTCAGAGAATTGCAAGATTGGTGACTTGATACTATTGTTTTCTGTTCTATTGCTTTCTGTACAACGATGAAGGTTGTTCTACTTTATATCATAAAACTGGCGAAGAAGACGGGAAGTCCTTCAATTATTTACAACTATATTAATATCCAGTCTCACAGAGAATTGTCATATGCACTCATGAAGCAACAACATGAACTCCTGTGTTTTTTCTTGCTATTTTCTGCATCTTTCTCCATCAAACAATTCGTGACTGGAGAATTCACCAACTCATTGCCTGTGGGGTGCTCTGTATCAAACAGATTGGGAGAACAACTCGGGGAGCCACACACATTGCCAAGAATGTTTGCAAGGAAATCTGATATTTGCTCAAATTCTGGCCGCTCTGCTGGATCCTCTGCCCAGCAAGAGCTAACAAGGGGTTCTATCTCACTCGGAATGTTTTCCAAGCTGGGACGCATTTTCTGGAATTTATAGAGCAAAGGAATTTTACCAAACGCTGTTCGATGTGAAAAGTTTGATCAACTCTGACATTTTTTTAAGTCAAGACAGACACAAAAAGGTATACAAGGTAGAAAAACATACCGTAGCTGTTGCATATGCCACCATAATGTTGCTTCTTCCCTTAAATGGAGTGCTGTTGGTGAGCAGCTCCCAAAGGATCATTGAGAAACTGTAGACATCCACTTTATGATTGTAGTATTTCTTCACTCCAACTCTAATTGGGTCCATACTGAACATCTGACATTGACAAAGGGTAAGACATATACTATTATTAAGCAGGTTGTATACATTTCTGCTCAATTTAATACCTCTGGAGCCATCCAGCGGTATGTACCAGCTTCTGTTGTCATTTCAGCTTCTGCATCCTCCCTAGCTAATCCAAAGTCAGCTAGCTTAATTGTTGTCTTGTCTTCTGTCAGGAGTAAGTTACCTACAAATGTTGGTAATGAAATAGAATCAAACAAGGAACCATCTCAATGGTCTGACCTTCCTTTTTAGAAATTAAGCTTTATGCACATGATAGCTGACACATGGTGCATGTGTTTGCAAACAATATTGTCTTAGCCGACGAAACAAGTGAGTAGAGTGGGCATAGTATGGTATTGATATAAAACAAGTGAATAGGGTGCACATAGTACAATATTGATATGAAAACGGCACACGTGGAGCAAAATGGATATAAGGAATCAATATAGACAATTCCAACAAGTCTGGGTTTGAAATTGAGTTGTTTTCATATGTTCAAGCTAAATCATAAAAAGATCATAAACTTAAATTCATGCAACTCAAGCAAGTAGTAATTCTGATCAGTGTGATAGCCACCTAAGACTTAACAATTGGAAGTGCAATAGCAAATTACAAGATAGGCAGAGCATTACTTGGCTTCAAGTCGCGGTGAATAATGCCAATTGCATGCAAATACTCCATTGCTCGAGAAATTCCCAATGCAAAACTTAGAGAGAGTTTTAAATCTGGACATTGTGGTCGGGTGCTCCATAAGAACTTCTGAAGCGTGCCACCTTTCATTAGCTCTGTAACTAACATCAATGTTGGTTCCATGGAAGCACCTACAAACTGTTTCAACAATTTTGAGGACATATTAGCAACCAATGAAACAAAAAATCTATCACCATACAGAAGGATTGTTTTAAGGCAATTTCTGCACAATAATGTGTAATGAGGAAAAAAACAGGGCAGTGCAATGCACTTAGTATCCCGCATTTACAGCTCACAAGGGGTCCGAGGAATGGCCGCAGCCATATGACAATAGGCAGCTTACCCTGACGCAAGAATCGATGGTTGATCCCACGGCTCGAATCCGTGTCCTATAGGTTACACGGAGACGACTCTACTGTTGGCCCAAGGCTTCCCTTCTAATGTGAAATGAGAGAAGACTAATACTTGACGCTTGAATCCTTTTACAGACACACTTAACAGTGCCTGTGTTTTACTGTTGTAGGGAACTAACACTATTGCATTAAGTATATATATATATATATATTCATTCAAGCTCAACAATCTAACAGCTAAGGAGCTTAAAAGTTGGATTATTCATAATTCCAGCATTTGTTCTTCCCAAGACATAAACAGTTAAACACACAGTTTGTCTGAGTATATACTTGGGTCAGAGAAGCCGAAAACAAAGGAATGATGTCTGGAACAAATTGAAAAAGAAAAAATTAGAAGTTAATATGATACTACTTAGATACAGTGCCATAAAAGGCAACATTTTTGAAACCCATCTGTTGTCCTGCTAGTTCATTGGCCTCTGTTTGAGTACAACAACACTTGCACCCCAATCTCGAACTAGTTGAGGTCAGCTTTGTCCTCAAGTTTGAGTAATTATCAGATAATGGACCATTTAATACATTTTGAGCCAGCATGCAGTTTCCTAGTTTGACCAACTCTCTTATCAGCAATACAACATGGGATGAAACCATTTCAAACAAGAATCAAGTTCAGAGGAGCAACTTTGTACCAAGAATCGACAAAATAGTTCAGAAAGAAGCCTGTATATAGTTGTGGATTTTATCTACACCGTATAATCTATGCTGCACGCTAAATTAACCAGGAGCTTATTACGATCTGTCCTAAAACAACATATTAACTATACCATATATGCTTAATAGAAAACAGGTTTTAGTTCCAAACAACCCTGCACTTGACAAATACAAGTGAATCCAAATAACTAAAATAGATTCTAAAGGGAATGTAACCGTGGGTATTTATACAAGAAAGCTTAACAAAGAAAGGACAGGAGCACATTAGCTATATAAATAAATCGTTTCCACATGGAAATGGTATGAAGTAAACAGGAATTCTTCTCACTTCTTTTCTGGATTTATATATATTCTTTTTACAGGGGTAGCACCAAACATCTAATTTTATCACCAAAACTGATTGCATAAGCCGTGGCTTTTATTCACTTTTTCAGTGGACTCCAAACCCAGTAAGGCAATCATCACTGTTTTCTGATTTTGAGTCTGACTCTATTACTATGTTGTGAACTGATGCCAGCAACAGCAAGATAGACAAAGTGAACACGATTTAACACTATTTTTTATTGAACATCATACCTTCACAATATTGTCATGCTTCACTTTAGAGAGTAAAGTAACCTCCCTATGGAATTTCACTTTTCGCTCAGGACTCACATTTGCCGACATGTCTGGCTGTATAATTTTTATTGCAACAGGCATGGATTTATATCTGGAACAAGTATTACAAAGAGTGCTTTAGAATAGCAGTACCCTTAATAAAACAAACTGAAATGCCTGATCACATCTAAGAGTGCAAAATATAGTAACCTTAAAAGTCATGTAATATGCACTATCAAATAGATGTACCAGAATGCAAGAAAAATCCAAATTTAGAAGATCCTTGATAGATGTTTTGGGTGTGTGTGTGTGTGTGTGTGTGTGTGTGTATATATATATATATAGACTATCTAAGAATCAAATTTTTCTTATATGAACTAAGTAGTTATTATCTAAAAACATCATGAGGTTTTACTCTGAAAACATCTACTTAAACATAAATTTGGCTACCTTCATGTCTGTATCAGTTACCAATAAAAGGAGCAGGAAACTAAGTTTCAATGGTTAAGCAAGGTGAAATTACGAGTAATGGTTGAAATACACTAAGGGTCACTTCAATGAAGACATTCAGAACTGAAGTGGAACTGAATTTATGCATTACGATTCTCGAGTTTCATTTCAAATTAATTCAGACAACATATCATGTAAACCATAATGGAGATTGTATTTTAAATAAATTACCATTGTAAATCGAATGGTTGCAATCTGCAAACCGTATTGTACAGTAGATGTGAAACATATTAGGACAACTCTCTCGGTCCAAATAGACCCTTATATCGCTTCATCATTTTGATGATGTTGTAAGTTGGATATGGAACCATTTTTCTCTGTCGACTTTTGTTTTAAAAAAACCGAAAGATCTTTACAAATTCATTAAATGTTGGACAAAAGTTGCTAGTTTTGAATGAGAGAGAAAGTTGGTTTTAAGAAATCTTATTACAGATAAAATATAAGCATTATGAATTGTTTCCACTGATACATTTATTTTCTTGACAT